TGTGCATCACAATAAGCATCCGTGTGAAACACAGAAGCGGAACCGATGGTTAGTGGCAGAGAAATTCGTGAAACAAAGCATTGATTTAGGCAATTCAATCCATTAAATGTATTTAACTGATTATTTAATCAGTAAAGTTTGGAGGCACTGACTAAAAGATTGGGACTGAACTGAGGGTTGCACAGTTCAGTTTAAGATGCTGAGATTTTTATTTAGCCCAAAACTGAGAGTCTTAGAAATGAGCAGATCAGAGGAACGGAGGGTGAGGTTCAACAGTTTGGCAATAAAGTTAAGAGAAAAACAGGGTGTTTAAAAGGTTGGGAGGAATCATGAGAAGAGACTAAAAAGGGTTTATAGAAACCAGCGTATGAAACTGGAGCTGCGAGGCAGGAGGAAAGGTGTCAGATGAAACAGAGAAGATTGATGGATGTGGTAAATAACAACACGGTGATGTTTGGTGAAACAGTAACGGAGGAGAGAGAGAGAGAGAGAGAGAGAGAGCTACGGAAGCAAACGATCCACTGTAGTGAAACCCAAAGGGACCAGTGTAAAGAAATGAAGAGTATTTCATTATTATCCCACGTATGCTCGTGAAATCAAACCCTCTTCTGATGCAAGTCATTAAACGTCTCTAAATCCGCCGCGTACTTTGTTTTATTTGCTGTTGTTTTGTCGTTAGCAGCAGAATATGCCGTGTGAGCCGGATTAAAGCTACCCTCCCACGCACAAGGGACTGACAGGAAATGATGCGTGCGTTTGAACCAGCATTAGTGTTTTTTAATTTTTATCTCATTAACACTTGGACATTTAGTGTTCACTCTTCCATGGCTGCTTCAGAGACGCTGCAGCAAACCAGGCATGTCCTTTGCTGCTGTTTGCTACAAAAGTGTGAACTGTTTGAACACGGGAGTGTATTTTTATCATCATGAAAAAAATGTGCCGCACTAATAACCTGTTGTATTTGTCAACGGATCTAGTTCTACCTGCCAACATTGTTCATTTGTATTGTTGAAAAATGTAAACTGAAAGCAAAAGAATCCAAAAATGGTTTCAGACAATAACCATGAATAATGTGCACAGAATTGAGTCCAGATTGTTCTGTGACGTCCAGATGTGTCATAGAAAAGGCCGAGGGAAGAGGAGGTGAGATGCTTTCTGTGTTCTTTGTTAACTCACAAAGACATCATCTGAAAATTAGACTACTGGGAATCATACGATTCAGTAGAGACTTCTACAGATATTTGCCCTGCAGTTATTCACTCATTTATTCGTCTTCTATCACTTAATCCTTTTCAGATTTGCTGCACCAATGCAGACGAGCCATTGGACAGTTTGTCAGCCTATCACAAGGATCACATTTTCTCACTGGAGTACCTGGAGAAAACACATGATCGGGGAGAACATACAACTTCCAAACACTAAGACAATCACTTTCCACTAGGGATCAAACCACTGACTTTCTAGCTGGAGGGTAAGAGCATTAACCACTTTTCTACTGCTCGCCCCCCACAAGAGAACTATCATCTCTCACATTTGCTCTGACAAGAATTCACTCGCTGAGGTGATGTGGCATCAACGCATCAATTTAGTTAACAATTTAATTTAACACAAAACCAATACTGATCATCCACTTTTTTATTTCCCTAATAGTCAAAAACTGATTTCATTTCAGCAGCAGCTTGAGTGGCACTGAACTTCCAGAGCAGTCTTTCTTTTTCACACTTCTCTTCGACTTGTCAGGCACAATCTGATGAAAGTTACATTTGTGTAAATGAGGAAAGATGAGTTAATTTCACTACATTTCAGAGGTTTTTTTTTTTTGTCACAACGTGAAATTCTTGATTCCAGTTGATATCACATAATTTAACCAAGCCTGTCAAAACAGACATTCAACTGGGAGAGTCAATAACCGAAGGGAGAGAGATCGGTTCCTTTTTTTTTCAGGTGTTTAAAGGAGCATATCAAAGAGTGGGGGAATGTTTTGGGTTTAAAAAGAGATAATCTGATTATTCCCCACCTCCTAGTGAGGGACACAAGGTAATTATCAAGTTGAGACCCTTTCCTTGCGGGGACTCTGATGGTAACTCAGATCAAGGCACTGGGCTGTAGGCCCTCAGGGCTGAACAGGGTGGAGGTGAGTGGCATGTGGATAAAACCAGATATTGTTTTCATAGAGAAACACACACATATACACACACTCACACACACACACACATTCTATTATTGATGGAAGGGCATATATGCATTCTTAGGCCTGAGAGCCCTCACATCAACTGAAACACAAAACCTTGGCTTTCTGCATACCAAAGCAGTATTCTTCTTTCAGAAATTCAACAAGACTTCAACTCGGTTTCTTGCTGGCTCAGATCAGACGGCTATTCTTCAAATGTCTCATGTAAGATTCCTCCTCATTATATAAAATTACTAATCCTCCCTCCCCCCCCCCCACCCCCCAAAAAAAGGAAAGAATCTCGCCTTGAAAGAATGCTGAGATTGCTGGCTCCATCACGGACTATCTTTGTTACTAAATTGTTAATTGTAGTCAGACCTAGAATTAAACCGGTGGAGGAATCCATCACAGAACAAAACTGCAAGAAACCGGACGGAAAAAAAAGATCTCCAATCCCTATAGCCGATAATGTGCTGCGACATTTATCTGCAATCACGTGTCTGGCACATGAGCATGTGATTTGGGGTTACTTTGTTTCCCTGGTACAATAAGAAAGACAGGAGAAAATGATGATGTTCATCATTAGGCAGACAAACCAACATCAGCGGGTTTGACGGGCATTGAACAGACGGGAGTGTCGTGTGACAATCCTTGTAATTACAGCTAAAAATGATGAAATGAAACAATTGAGGATGTCAGTGCAGACAACTAAAAGTGGCGCCACATTTTCCTCCGAAACACTGGAAGTGAATCAATTCCGTGACTCTGGAGGGTTCCTGGTGCCGGATGATCAGAAGGATCAGACATAGGTGCAAATGAAAAATGCATCTCTTCTCTGTGGCTCCAGAACTTCAAAGTGAACAATCTGTTATAGAACGCTGTTTGCAGAGCAGCCATGTTAGTGAACACCTGGCTGTTGAGTTATACATGCTGCACAAGTCTGATCCACGAGGTTATTCATTAATATAAAAAACTGAACACCGTTTTTTCTCTTTATTTTTTAAAACAAAATTATGTTCTTCCTCTGGGCCAGCTCAGGGCCGAGGGCTTAAAACACAAATACAATTTTACTACCTAAGAAAATACCGTCTGAATACAGATGTAAAGTTTGATTCTTTTTAGCAGTGTTTAATAAACAGTTCCTCCAGATTCAAATGATCCTGCAGTTCTAACAGTGCAGATTGGTGGTAGTAGGAAAAGAGAATCAGAGAAAAGACATTTGTTTCTCCTTCATTCTAGTAATTTTGCATGTGAAGGCTGGACAGTACAACACTCCTTCACCTTATTGTCATTACTTTAGAAATGTGTGGTGAAACATAGCTGGCTCTGTCCTGTGTATAACATCTGAGGGGGAGTTAAAGTTAGTTATGATAGTCGGGGGCTAACAGAGAGCATCGACGTCTATTAGGTCATAGAATCTTCCACTCCTTGTTTGATTTAAATAACTGAAGTCTGTACTGAGCTTTATAATCTAAAATAAATGTCTTTTTGGCAGCCTAGTGGTCTAAGATCGAACATAATCTGAGGATTTCTGGTTCGAATCCCAGCCATGGCAGGACTGTACTGTAATGTGTTGAGCTCCTCGGCTCTGTGGGAGCTCCGAGGAGCTGCAGCCCACTGCTGCTGCTGTGTGTTCATAGATAATCACTGTTATGTTTTAAATGTCAAATGGCAGAAAAAAAAGTTTGCAACTGCCTTTTTGTACTAGTTTTTTTTTTTATATTAGAGACGTATGTGTAGCAAAAACAAACATGTTTAAATCAATGTGAAGCCCTGGAGCTAAATGAAGGCTCCCAACATACAGCTTAACAAAACCCCAGTCTAATAAAATGAATATGACAGAAAATGTGGTTTTCTGAAGCCTTGTAAAGAGAAACAGTTCTTAGTCTGTGTTTGCATCACGGCGTTAAAGTGTTGTTTGTTTGTTTCCAAAAACACGCAGTGAGAACGTACTACTATTGACACGAGTATTTCAAAACACTCTTAATTATCTTAAGGTGCAAAAAAGATGGCGGGATTGTTGTTATAATAACGTTTTTTTATTTCTTAGTATGAAACGGATGAAATGGCGCCTGACGGGTCAAGGGTCCTCACTGCTGCTGTAGAGTGAAAGAATCTCTGCCTGGTGGAGTGTTGCACCAGAAGTAAAGACTGTGTTTTTTGAAAGCCACCGTGGATCATAGGAAATATTCAAAAAGTTCAGAACAGCGTTTGAAACACTTTTTTTTAAACTCCAAGGGTAAAACCTCCACAGAGAAGCTCAGCAGCCTTGCTGCATAACAGCTCTTCACCGCTTTGGAGCGGCAGCAACAATGTGAGCCAATAAATTCGCCTCATTCATACCACGAATGACAAGTGGATTCTTAAAGGGTTGAGCAAAATTACCGGGGGAAAAAAATGTACATTTTTGTTTGCAACAATTCCATGGTAACTCACCTTGTGAGCAGTGAAAGCAAACCAGCAGCAGCAGGAGGCAGTGGAACACTGGACACCTCCACAGTGCAGAGGCCATTGTGAGCTGTGTGCAAACGATCCAGGAGCCTGGGCTGCTAATAATAGTTGTTCAGCGAGTTGTGGAGGGGGGAGCCGAAAGCTGGAGCGACGTCAACGATCAGTAGTTCTTGGAAAAGCATCACCAGTCATCTTCTCATCTGAAAGAAACAAGAGAAAGGGCCGTGAAAATGTCGGAAACGGCACGGCACGGCTGACATCGGTATCACTGGCTGTTGTAGAAGCAGCGAAAGAAGACCATGATGGAAAACATACACCATCGCCTCTCGTAATACGGGACGACAGAACACTGATACCTTCAACCCACTGCTGTGGCTACAAGTGAAGCATGTGGGAATTTTATATTATGTTCCCCAAATGTAACATAACCAGGCTGTAATTTCACAAACGGTGACATGTACGAGATGTAGCACGTAAAAGCTCAAAAATAACTATTACTCCTTTGAACCAAGACATATATTTTTGCATATATGATACTATGTGTTACTGTTGTTCTAGTGCATTAAGCCAATTAGATCAAAACTTGTCATATTAAAAAAAAAACAAGCTCTGGCTGCTGACGTTCTTTAATGAAATGCCAAAAAACACACTGCATTTTGGCTAATTTATTCAGTGAATAACACAATGTTATTGGATATACAGTATAAGGTTGATGTGACCATGAGTTTAATTTAGTCAATTTAATAATTTAGTCTTTTAGAAGAAAAACATGTTGTGGTCATTGTTAGGTTCATTTTCTGGTTCACCAGCCTCTTAAAAATATTGCTAGTGGAAACATAAAAGTTGGATTTATAGCCTTCAGCACAGATTTTGCTCAAAGAGAGAGAAAAAAAAATGAATCATTTATAAAACAAAGCAGATTTGCTGAAGGTTAATCCAAATCATGAAAAGCAATATTTTTCGACCGGACCACTGAATGGATGAACAATTAAAAAAGGGAAGCAAAAACCAATATAAAATCATTCTAATCTGACATATAATTACTATATGAATTAGCGCCATCTTAGATTAGATCTATAACTCGGCTGCTGTGAGGAATCCTGTCAAACAAAAAAGAGAAATGAAAAAACGAATGAAGGTTTGTTTAAAAAAAAAAAAAAACAATCCTTGGAGAATCACTGCTGCTGGAAAAAATGAAACACCTGAGTGCTGTTTGAACAAAAGCACATTTCACACAAATATTAAAAATTCCAAAGGTTTGTGAGGGCATTTACAAACAAAACCCATGTCAGGTCTAGGTGCTCCACACTTATTCAACACTCGCCAGCGTG